TCTTTTGGTCTTCCTTTTTTTGGGCGGGGATGTGTTTTGGAACGGGGGTTGGGGGGACGACGGAAAGCATTCGTTGAAAACTCTGCCCGATTATTATACATGCATATTCAAATTACATCATTATAATTGAATCTATTATCTGTACGAGTGTATACGTACACAATAATGACTAATGACGAGTGAAACGTTTCTCATCAAGCATTGATCAGCGTCGTCACATATGCGCCGTCGATCAGGACAGAGGTCGTTTCGATGGTGATGGTGATATCGATACACACGATCAGAATCTTCCACTTTGATGTTATCTCGAGAGGCGTTGACTGTCCTGGCGGAGTGGCTCACGTCATAGAAATCAAAGGTATCGAGCTCTTGACCCAGACCCTATGCCATGACGAGTTTGTGTGTCACGGGTCATTCAGATAGGTTTGTAGTGTGTAGTGTGTGAGATGATTTCAAAATAGAAGTGTGTTAAGAAACACAGTTTTGAAAAATGCCACGAGTTTCATACTCTGACACCTCTAGTTCCAGATCTGGCGTATTATTAAGAAAGAAAATAAATACAGTGTAATTTTATAACGTGGTAAAATACGACATATTGTAAGTGGGGATATATACAAATATTATATATAATTTAAGGTTAGTGTATAAAGAAACAAAAGAAAATAACCGCGTAAAAAGGAACAACAGAAACGGATTGTTAAAAAAAACAGAATAAAAAATAATAATAATAATAATAATAATGGTAATAATAATAGTAATAGTAATAACAATGAGTAATGGTAATAATAAATAGTGACAAGAAGAAGAAGAATGCGGATGATATCTCTAGATCTGTTGAGCCCACTCCCGAACAACACGCCAACTCCAGGTGTTCCATTAAAAAAGAAAACAAAAAATCATCAGTAAGTGCATCAGCATTAGTTCCACCATCGCAGAGAGGGTCATTCGCTGTGGTAAGGGGCACCCGGAGGAGAGACAGACACAGGCAGAATTCCGTAATAATGCATTCGTTAGTCATGTCAGTCCGGACAGAATCAGAATCTGCTGAACTGAAGTGAAGGGAGGAGGGCGTACCAGGAGCACCCCAGTCCCAGAACTAATCACATCCCAGGCGGGTCAAAGGGCACAGACGGTCTGACCCATATTTTAGCAGGCGGCTGGCTGATCAAGGTGTTGACACACTGACATGGCAGCGTATCACATGGCCTGACCTTTGCACCTTTATCTGGTGATGGGCTGGTGGGTTTTTTGTTCTGTTTTGATTTGTTTTCTTTTTTTTGTCGTTTGATTCGCACATGATATTTAGTGATACGAGTAGTTCGCTCATGGTTCGCTCTCTCTCTTTTGGGTTTTGTTTGTGGTTCGGTACGTGTACGAGGTGTGAGAGGGAAATGGCGAGACGGACAGACAAGGAGATACGAGTGCGAATGTGTGTGTGTGTGTGTGTGTGTGTGTGA